AGGAGCAGCCCGGGGAGCCGGGGGGATCTCGGGCAGGCAGGGCGACAGGGGCAGCGCTGGGGCTGGCTGGAAAGCTCCGGTGTCCGGGTTTTTAGATCCTCCGCCTGCAAACTCCGTGCATTTCTGGGCAGCTCAAGGTGCCCTGTACTCGCAGGGGACAAGTTGTTGCTTCCCCAGCTGCTGCTGGGTGCTGCCAGCGTGGACCTGGGGCGAGGAGGCACCGTGCAGGGTGGAAAAAGATGGATTTGGGGAGGGGAGTTGGAGCATGGGTGGGAAAAAGCCAGCAGTGAAGCTTGTTGCTCTGATACAGCCTTTCCCAAGGGTGTGTGTCCGACTGTCCCCCTGAAGAGCCAGCAGGACAGAGCGGCTCCCAGGCTCCAAGTGCCACGAGCCGGGTCCAGGGCTGCAGGCTGGCTCCCTGCAAGGGGCCCACGCGCCCCGGCCGGGCCGACGGGCTCTTGCGGAGGGCTCGGGAGGAAACCGGGGCAGCTGCTGGGGCCATGTCCGCAGCAGGGCTGTCCCCACGTTCTGGCAGCTAAATCCTGTAGTGTGGCCTGTGTCAGGCTCTGCCTTCATTCCTCGCGTGTCCCAGTGAGCTCCAGCTTCTCCCTGGCTGACTTTAGCTGGATGGGCTTGCAGAGCGCCCTGGCAAAGTCTGCACTTGTGGTACCTGCTCGACCCTCAGTGCTTGGCCCCATTGCAGCCGATGTGAACGCGGCGAGCAGATGCCGACCATTGCTGCTGGCCTGAGCGTTTTTGCACACTGAGCAACAGGCACCTTTTTTATCTTGTTTTCATGCAGCGCTAGAGCCGGGGAGCTGCCCACTGTGGCTCCCACGGGACTTGTTTGCTCGCAGCCCGGAGCGGAGCCTGGATGTTTGCGATGCCAGGCGGTCCCTGCGCCTTGGCCTGCCTATTGTTTGAGCCGGAGCCGGGTTAAGTCAGCATGAAAAAATGCAGAACTCGCCGCGTGCCGCTGGCACGGCCGGCGTGTGGCCTCCGCGGCGGGGTCGGGGGCAGCACGTGAGCCCCTGCTATCCCCGTGGGGCCGGCGATGCCTCCACACGGCTGCATCCC